CCAAGGTGTTTCCATTATTTTGTCCAACCCCTGTACATTGATGATAAAGCAGCTTAATTAAATTTTGAAAGTAACTCTGCAAAAAATGTCATGACATGTGCACTTTGACCCTCCCATATGCACAGGATTAATGTTTTCAATATTTTAACCTTCAGCTTCCTGCTTCAGCTTTCTTTTTTCCATATCTTTGTTAGCTCGCCTGTCACATTCTTTTCTGTAGTAATTCTCTTACTTGTTAGTGTGTAAACACCTTATACAAGCAGGAAAAGCATGTTTATAATTAACTATACTTGTCATAACACATCAGTATTAAGCCTATTATGTTTTTAAACACTATATTCTTTAGTCACTACCAGATTTTAAGAATTGGAAGATGGTATAAAAATAGTATTCCAGCCACACTATATTCATTGTATCCATTGCTGATGATGCATTTTGCTCAATCCAGAGCTCTTTATGCCAGCTGGATATAATGAATATCATGTAGTTGGAATGCTATTATTATACACTCTTCTAACTGTTGAAAATTCATAAAGGACTAGATAAAGAATGTAGTGTTTAAAAATATAATAGATCTAATACTAATATCTTATGACAAGTATAATTAATTCTCTCACAAAGTCAACAATCATGCCAAAAAGTGCAACAAGTTACTTTCAACACTTTCAAATACACCTCCATCTAAAGTTATGTCCTCCTGGTCATTCATTTTCATAGCTTTCAATACATAGACTTTTTACACGTAGATACATACAGTCTAACTTAAGTCGTAGGTTGTGATGAAACAGCACATACAGTAAGCAGCAGATTCTCTAAAATGTTAACCAACCATTTTAGTTTTTACCTAACATAATGCACAAATAGTTGTTACAATTACATGTGCATATTTTTCTTTAAATATCTGAAGCAAAAAGTAGATGAGGCTCTTTCACTGCAGTTGTGACCCATATAATTGTATAAACTCAAAATTATGACACCATAAAGAATGCATGTATTTTATTCTTGTCTTTTATGTAGATGTGTAGAAAAAAATCTGAGAAATGCTACTTTTAAAAGCTAATTATGAATGAAGACTTGAAATTTCCATAAATGAATGTTGTTTGCATAAACTAGATATGGGTATAAAATATTATCCATTAACTTATCACAAATATTTATGTTATAAAAAAAAATATTGTTATAAAACGTTTCAAAAGAAACCATTTACAATATGCTATTGTACAAAAACCTAAGACTTACGCTTGTTTTTCTAGCTCCCAAAAATCTGGACTGTCAGATACCCATGGATTTGATGGCTCAGGAGGTGTTAGAAAAGGATCATATTCTTGGTACTGCTCAAAATAACTAACATACCTTACGACAAAAAAAAAAAGCATTAACACACAAACACATATTACTGTTCAAAATCATGAGTTTTTCATAAGAGAATAAAAAACAGTTTTCTATCAGGTTCTTTCCATGGGAAACACCTTATATAAGTTTTATATCTATTTATCTATCTATTATATCCAAAGAGATAGATAAATCAGTAAAATGAGCTGAACAATAAAATATCTTTCTTGATATTTCTTTCATATAAAAATGATTGAACTTGCTAATTTCATTCAAAAAAACAAATTAAGATATGTTGTAGTTGACACATGTTTCTCATAAAAAGTGTATTATTTTGCTATATTAAGATATTCAGGAAAATAGAGTACACGAACAAGATTTATGCATTGATCAAGGTATATGGAGACTGTCCAGCTTTCTAACTAACTACAGCAGTTACTCTTTAATTTTTCAGTTTGATAAATATAACAAGAAACATCCTAAGCTGACACTAATTATAAAACTAGTTTCATGACAAGTAAAATATTGATGTAGTTTAGAGTTCTTATTTCAGTTGTCACTAGCCCACCTAGGTTAATATCACTGCTGGCTGACTTTTATTATCTGAAAATTTTGTAAATAAAATTAATAACGTGGTTTTATGAAAGTACTATCAAATATCAAATGAATATCTGTTCTGTTTTCAACAACAACAAAAAAAAAGGTATCAAATCTACAGGAAAATTCTACTTACGATTCAGCCACCTTAGATATTTTGACATTTCTTCGGTCTAATCTACTTTTTAGGGTGGTAATCTGGAAAACAATAAAAATCTAATTTTTAATTATTGTTCATATCTCTCTTTTTTTTGGCAACATGCTGAAAAAATAAAGACATAAAACAGAAAACATGAGAATATGGCATAATTTGTGAGACTTAATAAAACCAATATTAAAACAAATGACTAACAAACCTTACATTTACAAGAAATTAAAGCTTATTGATAATGTGTTTCAACCTTATTACTACTAAAATCTTCAGACATCAATCTATCAAATATGATTTATTGAAATTTAAAATATGTTTCTCCAAAAATTCAAACTTGTACACAATAAAGCCATATTTCTTGTGAAAATATAGATTTTACTGTGGATCTATGAAACATACTTAATATTGTTCAATGAATGTTTTAATTAACCATTGATGCTTGAAAAACAGAACTATTGCAAAGAAAGAATTATCTTTGCTACTAACACTTGCTAAGATAATTTTGGATGATGTGCACGTTTGTGTTGCTCAAGATCATTTATACAACTCACAACTTAATATAACAACATACTGTGTCAGTTAGAAGATTGGGTGATGTAAAACATTATTGTAATAAGGAAAATTTTTTCGAGTTTTAATTTCATTAAAAGTATAATCTAGTCACATTGTGTTTCGTTTATACAGGTAGGTGAATCCTACAGGGGCTAAAATACCAATTTCAGTTTTATTTATCACTTCCAAGTGGTCAGTTTTTTGTTGTTGTTTCATCATGAGCAATTATATTTTCTCATAGATGTGCATTAAAGAATGAATATCAATCAGTTCTTTTTAAGTTTTAATAGTTAAAATAAAGTTTATATACTCAGAGAAAAAAGGTTGAGATAACCAAGGACCTTGTTTGTAGAAGCCATCTCAAAACCTTTCAATAACAACCAATTACAACTTTCAACTTAATGTATTTAATTTTCAATAATGGAATTTTCAAACCTCTTTCTGTAAGACTTCTGTAGACTGGGCTATATCAGCTTCTGTCATTGGGCTGACTTTGCATCCAGTACTCTATATGTATGAAAACAAAGTCAAAAACTGGGTTTCATAGTTTATTACTGATTTCTTTTAAGTATGTATAAGAGAAAATACAATCCAACACTAAGATATACAACAGTACTGTATTAGTAAATCAAATAAGATAAAGAAAGCAAATTTTTACTTCAATCTTTAATCCTGATGTTTAAAAAGAAATCAGACAAAATGTATAGTACTTTTTATAATTATCATATGCTGAACAGATTTTCTTTGATTTAACTGTGCAGGTAAAGGTATTAGATTTAAGAATAACTTACTAAAACTATGTGTAGAAATTTAACATTAAAAGCCATTTAATAACATATAAGAAGTAATATTCCATTGAAACAAAAAACTTTGATCAAGTTTATTGTCTTATAAATGTATTAAAGATGTAGGCATGTTAATAAAACAAAAGAAGAATTGATTTTCAATCAGCAATTGTTTATAATGAGGATAAAAATCACCATACTTCAAGACAATCATGATTCCAAATATTTTGAGAAAGCATTAAAGAGGAAAAGAATTTAGCATGTAATTACAATTTCTGAATACTTACTTTGGCACTTCTCATTGGCTTCTTCATATGGCAAGCTTTTTTGATATCGAGTTCTGTGGTATTGACACACCCTGGCTGGAGTAAAAATATTTATAGTAGTTTAGTCAATAATTTTCCTGCTTTTAAATCAGAAAACAGCTACATTTGTATTGTATTATGACAAACACTTAAATAGTTGTTCCAAAGATTCAGAATACCTACTTTGATTTTAATGTTTTAACTGCCTTTTGATCAGTGAGCTCTACCTAGTATGACAAATTATCTCTCTTGTCAAGAGTATTAGATAATAACTAAAACTAAATGACATTTAAGTTACTTTGAAATATTGATATGCATCTTGAAAAGTTCACCAAATGAAATTCTATTGTTTTTTGAAGACTGAAAACCTTCAGTTACACTATGTTTGGCAAAATGTAAATGAGGTAGTAACTCCTCATTATGTGTGTGTGATAGAGATGAAGAATTACTGTTTATAACATACTTGACATTTAAATCATGGCTGATATGGTAAAATTTGGCAAACAAAAATTGTAAAAACATATATTATTTATAATTGATTAATAAAAATAAAAAACAAAAGACAATGATATGTATTATTTTACCCCAATATTTTTTGTTGTCATGCTCTTTATCATTTATTTTCAGCTCAGCCTAGTAGGTTTTATCAAATGTCTACATTTTATTCAATCTGAAACTGTGTCAACTGCTCACTAAATGTCTTTACTTTCCTTATCATTAGACTGCACATACAACTGGCCAGTGAACATCATTAATATTTTACTTTCTAGTTTTACCAGACTACACATACTACTAGCCAGTGAAATTCACAGTGAGCTTTATTAATATTTTACTTTCTATTTTTACCAGACTACACATACTACTGGTCGTTGAAAATCACAGAGAGCTTTATTAATATTTTACTTTCTACTTTTACCAGACTACATGTAGTACTGGGCGGTGAACATCACAGTGAGCTTT